TTTCCTTGCCGGGATATCACAATTTGCATTTAAATGGATGTTTTAAATAGGCTGTTTTACTCTTATTCACAAAAATAGAATGATGAAAGACGCAGCGTGTTCATTCTGACTAAAAATGATCTCTCCTCCTTTTTAGAGGAATTGAGTCGCACATTATTCCCCTTCTCTTAAAGGTATCTTGGACAGTTCAGCACAGATAATTGAAAATCTTGCTGTTTTTAAATGGCATGCAAGATGGAGAAAGCAGGGGAGATGCATAATAGTGCAGGTCGCAACAATAATTACAAGTTTCAAGGAGACAGAACGGTATTTTAGTCCCGAGCATTGTGTCCACAAAATACTAATTAAATGGGATAAATGATATTTAATGGCAAAATTCTATTTGTGCAGGAGGTCTATTTAGTTATAATTGGTTCTCATTTGTTTCTGCCTAGACGGTGGTTCTTTCTATATAATCTGACAGCCTCGGAGGCTGCTAAGCCATTGCTAACCTGTTTTTTGGGAAACCTGATATTGTTCACCCTTCCTCTCTCTCTTTGTGGTATTGAACTTCCCCTCCGCTCTCACCTGCCACATCCGCAGTGCACGGGGCAAGGAGGCGCTTAGAGGTCTTCCTGGTCCGAAATGCATCTTTCCTTCGCTGGCTGGCCAAGAGTCCTTGGTGCATGGGTTTTCCGAGGCAGTTTGATTCCCCCTCCCCTGCCCCCACGCTTATTTTTCTTTAGAAGGTGGGCTCTGAGCACTAGTGGTGGAGGTGGATTGGCCCAGTCCAGACCCCTGCCGGAAGATGTATGTGCTTTGTGTGCGGTCCTTTTGTCTCCCTCCTCCCTACTTAGCGGGGTTTCCCCCGTCTGCCCCTACAGTTCACCCAGCAGGAAAAAGTGATGCATTAAAGATGCATCAAGTGACCCCCCCCTCGCCTCACACATGCTATTTTGCAAAACCTGAGCTCCTTTCCCTGCTCCTCTCTTCCCTGCACTGTTTCATTCCCTCTCTCCCTCCTCCTACCCACTTGACCAGTCAAGGCCCTGCTGTTTCTTTGAACATGCGATACCAATCCTTGCCATTTTGTCACCAATCTTGCAGTTTGGGGGCGAGGAGGAAAGGGGTCTTAAAAGTGCTAAAAGCGTGTTGCATACTTGAGAATTGCAGCTACTATATACCCCTATATATAACTCCGCTATAAAGTACACCCACGTTTGGCTGCTTATTTGAGTGACGGGTTCACGGAGGAGATGTTCCCCTGCTTAAAATAAATGCAATCAATCTGCATATGATGAGCAGAGCTATCTGTTTTATAGACGGTATATACGTATGTAAAAGAGCTGCTCCTTCTCGAGACAGTAGCTAAAGAGATGTGAGGCTTGAAGTCTACACCATCAGAAGACAAAGTAACCCCCCGTTTTCATTTTTCTTAAAAGTCCGGTCGTTTTTGAACGGTTTGTATTGGCCCTTACTGTTACCACGAACTGCATCATCATGGTGCCCATTGATCTTGCTCAAAGAATGGACGCTCCCTTGTTTTCGCTGCTGCTTTCTCCAGTTAGGAGGACAGACTGGATTGAGGGCAGTGGCAAACTGCTTCTCCGTCGCTCAGTCCATGGCGGCCAGCTGTTGGTCCTGAGGGTGTGCTTGGGGTCTCTTCTCCAGCTGGCACGTGGAAAAGATGTCAGTGCAAAGCAAGAGGGAAGCGTATACCCCGAGAAACTAATCAGGGAAGTGAAAAAAACACTTTTCACCTTTTTTTTTTAACGCGGTGTTTTGTCAATGCCACATACGCTCTGTAAATCTGCTTTAACTTGAGGTCTGAAATCTTCCCAAGTGTGTATGATCCACAAAGTAAGGCCCCCCAATCCTGCCAGGAGCCTGGCATAGCTGGGACGCTGACTTCACCTGTGCTCAGGGCTCTTCCCATGCAAACTTTATTCCCAGGTCTTAGATGTGGGGCTGCAGGGGACGGTCAGCCAAATGTGAGCCAACAGTATGTCTTCGTTGCCAAGAAGGCTCATGGCAGACTGGGATGCACTGGTAGGAGTGTTGCCAGCAGGTCGAGGGAAGTGATTATTCGCCTCTATCCAGCACTGGTGAGGCCACGTCTGGAGGACTCTGTCCACTTTTGGGCCCCCCGCTACAGAAAGGATGTGGACAAATTGGAGAGAGTCTAGCGGAGGCCAACAAAAATGGTTCGTGGGCTGGGGGACATCACTTGTGAGGAGAGACTGAGGGAGCTGGGCTTATGTAGTCTGCAGAAGAGATGACTGAGAGGGGGTTTGATAGCAGCCTTCAGCTCCCTGCAGGGCGGTTCGAAAGAGGATGGAGCTGGACTGGTCTCAGTGGGGGCAGATGGCAGAACAAGAAGCAGTGGGCTCAAGTTGCAGCAAGGGCAGTTTAGGTTGGATAATAGCAAGAATTTTCTCACTAGGAGAGTAGTAAAACACTGGGGCAGGTTACCCAGAGAGGTGGTGGACTCTATATCCTTGGAGGTTTTTAAGACCTGAGTAGACAAAGCCTTGGCTGGGATGATGGTCCTGCTTGGAGCACGGGGTTGGACTAGATGTGACCTCCTGAGAGCCTTTCCAACTCTAACTTTCTATGCAAGTGTCCCGACCTTTCCCAAGTGTCCATAGCTCACGCTGACATCAGTAAGGATTGTTCCTGGGTGTCTGCTGTTCCTGAGAAAATTAGGCCATTTATGAGGGTTTGCCATTTTGCATGCCCCCAAACTTAAAGGGGAGGACTTTCCCACAACAGGTGTTTCACCTCTGAATTAAGTGCATTTTGGGGGTGACACCAGCCTGCTCAAGGGTGTTGGCATCCAGTTCCTTCATCTGGTTGTATTTTATTCCCACTTTCCCCAGCTTTCCCCACTTCATGTGAGACCCCAGTTTGGAAATTTTGTCCTGGGTTTACACTGTCCCGTTGTGGAAAACCCATGTGCGTTTCCCCGACGTCCTGGCAAGTTTCTTTAGCAACTTTTTTCAGCAATGACAGAAGTTCAGTGCAGGGGAGTTCGTGATACGTAACCACGTGAATCCTGTCTGCCAGACGGTGCTTAAGGTGGATGCAGTGGGGTTACAACCTAGGCAAAAACCCCAAGGGCAAAACTCTTCCGCTCACTCTTGGGAACCTCGACTCTCTCGTTGCGCTCTCTGGTTGATATCAGTGGGAAATCGGTGTGCACCGGTGATCTGAAAGGTGAATTTGAACTGAGAAATGTCAAGAGACATCCTAGGCTGTCGCATCTTTTCCCCTCTAAAAGCAAGTAGCGTGCATGTGTTGTGGGCAAAGTCTTTTCTCGCCACGCAAGCGCCCCTGCCGTGCGCGCGGTGCGTGTCTTGGCCGGCCTGCACGGAGAAACTTCTTATTTAGGTTTCAAATCCAAGTGACTTGCTCCAAAAGAGTGATTGATTCATGCTGAAGGGCACGCACTTAATGATCTGCTCCAGCTTTTTTGTTTTGTTTTTGTTTCCCGCCCCCCTTTATTTCCTAGTCCTGGTGGCTGCACTGAGAGCATGTTAAATAATTAACTGCTAAATAACAGAGTCTCACCCTGCAAGTCCCAGGCTGTCCGAGTGACCATTATAAATCCCCGTTTCAAAGGGATGGCCATAAAAGTTCACTTCAAGGCTGGAAACTGGGCACATCAGCAGAGGCTCAGCGTGGAGTCAAAACCTTTCATTTCCAACCCCTGGCAACAACATAGCAACGAGGCCCCATCCCTGAGCGGAAGAAGGGCGTAATTAACCCATCAAACAATGAGGCATACGAAACAACATATTGCCGGAGGGAGATTTTGAAGTAGCCAAATATTTTCCTAAGATCCCACGGGGCCGTCGTCAGAATTATTCCATTACTGGTTTTAGATATTTAGCCGGTCTGAGACTAAATGCATTAGAGCTGCTCTCGCAAGTTTTTTTTTATCCTGGTCTCTGGAAGTCCTTGCCCAAGGTCACCGTCTCCCGTGCTCGCGGAAAGAAAAGAGAACGGGAAGCAAATGCACACAACAGCCCTAGTGAAGAAGCACGGAGCGACTCCCTCGAAGCTATTAAGGCACTTGGTCTTTGTCATTAATCACTGGCTCTCGCAGGGCTTCGCCGTGGCCGCGCCACTGCGGAGGTAGATGGGCAGCCCTGTTCCACGGTGGCGGGTCGGTAGGAACAAAAGCAGAGAACGCGTCTCATCAGGCCCGGGTCTCCAGGAGCATTGGCGATCCAGGCCCCGTGCCAGGGCTGCATCGGGGCAGGCTCAGACTTTCTGTCTTGCATACATTCTTCAGGGAGATTCAGGATATTCATTAGCAATGCCACAGAAAGCACGATCTCCTGCTCCCTAGCCACCTCCTGCATAGGACGGAGGGGTGGGATGCTCAGGCCCTCTCTGTGCCACAGATGCAGAAAGCTGGAGCCCTTTTAGCTTGGGAGCCCCTCCCGCCGGAAAGCGCGTATCCACAGAGTGCTGCACGGCGCTCTGGGACGAGCCCCACACTTCAGAAAGCCTCTTATCAGTGCACACGCGGGGCTCTGCACTGCTGAGCACGTTCGGTCTGGGTGGGCTGAGCTCATGCGTTACAAGAGGCTCGTGCCCTTCAAAGAAAGTCATTCGTCTTTCCCAGCAGAGTCCATGCAGCGGAGAAGTGGGCAGGCAGGCCTTTACCAGGTGGGCATTTCCTAGGTGCCTTGCAGAGCATCCTGGACTCCCAAGAAGCCCCCTTGGCAGTCTGCAGCATGATTTAAGCCGCGACGTGCGTGCAGTTAACTGTCCACTTCCCTTCGTGCGGGAGGGAGCTCAACCCTTTGGGCTGAAGGAAAAAGTTGCCGCTCTGCAGCTGCTCCTCCAAACGTGCGCTCCCCCTCCTCCTTGCTCCGCTCACATCCAGCTTTGTTTTTGCACTCGCCCAGACTGCGTGCTCGCAACCGGGGGGTCATAACTGCCTGCCCTCATCTTGGCGCTGTTTTCACAGGCCAAAGAAAAACCTTACTGACAGCAGGCCTTCTCTACAAACAGCACAACCCGCGGATGCCAGGTTAGCTCTTTTGCGGGTACAAAACCGCCTTCAAACAACCACCCAACAAGCTGCTGTGCCATCGGCAGCTTGCTGGTCCTGATTTGAACATTTGCATTTGCTTGAAAAGCAAGCAACTGCGAGTCCCCGATGTGTCCAGACCCTTTGCAGTGAAGTTTATCGGCCCCTCATGAGAAAAATCCCAGTCCCGACCTCATGACTTGTTGACTGTAGACCCTGTTGTGTCATTTTTGGGGGTGAGACTTTCGAAGGATTGCCCCTTTCTTCCACGTCAGGCTGAACAAAGACTGCGAAGCATAAATGACGCTTTGTGTGACGGCAGAACTGCCGTCTCATGGATAGAGGGGAGGGCCAAGGGCAGGAGGATGGACGTCCATCCCCCGATGGCCACCAAGGCAGATCACTTCATCTCTGTGCCTGTTTTCTACCTGTAAACTGAGGCAGGGAGGAGGTAGGTAATCATTCCCTCCTCCTGCCCTTTTTTCGGTGTTGCCTGTCCACTCTCGGAGACAGGCACTTGCTTCTCCTACGTGCATGGGCAGCCAAGTGGGGATGTTTTATGAGCCTGCGTCATATAACGAGCAATGACTTCGAGGCACGACGAGTTTAAGTGGCTTGCCCAGCTTCATTATAGGATGACACTGAGGCCCCCAGGAAAAAAAAAACAACCCTGACAATAAAGACCAAACGAATCTGTTTTTCTGTTGCTTTGTCGTATAAGCAAAATGCCGACTCCCTCTTCAAGTGCTTTCTTGTTTAGAGACTCGTTACTTTTATGGCACAGTCAGAACTGACTCTACTGCTGGGTTTGAGGCGTTTTCTCTAGCTAGCCTTGGGCACGGTCGAGGTGGGCGGCCAACGCGAGCGGGTTGACAAGAACACCGGGGCGCTTATCGTGACGTTTCATCGCTGCAGTGATGCAAAGAGGGGAGATTTAAGGAGCCGATGCCCAAATAATGTGTTCCCGTGAGCACCCGACGCAGCGGAGGGGTCTGACCTTGGGTTTGCAGGAATGTCGCCAGAGCCACATCCAGTCTGCACAGGTGGGTCAGTCGTTTTAACAGGCGACAAGCACTTTCGGGCTGGCCTAAGAGACCATATGGGGGACCTGCCATCGTGGCTTAAGGGGTCTGATCTGAGTAAAAGTCATGCTGAGGAAGCACAGTTGATTTGTTGATTGAAGTTTGCACTTTCATGGGCAGGAAGGTCTCTCTTTGAGGGAGGTAATCCAGGCAAAACCTGGATTTTTTTTATTATTATTTTTTTTTTGAGTTTAGCAACAAGAGATAATTACTGCAAGATTGATCATTCACTAGAAGTACTGAAGCAAATAAATTGTTCAGTGCCCAGTGCAGGATGAGAATGGCAGCTAATGGAAATGGTGGATAGGTCGGCCTGACCATAATTTGGCTTGATGAAGCATCCACATGGGCATGGTGTTAATGTGCTATTGATATTCAGCCAGCCGATTTCCCCTGTGCAGATTGGGCTCTGACTCGTTAGAGCAGAGCTGGGCATCGCAGCAGCAAATGAAGAGGAAAATTGAAGTAATGTTGTATTATAAATTTATGATTTCATCTGCCTGACCTAGAGACTGTTCTGTGATGGGAGAGAGAGATGAGAACCGCTCTCCAGTCAACTGTGTACTTTGTCTTTGTTGTTAGAAATGATAGAGATTTGTTGGGGAGAGGGTCAAAAGCATCCTTACCTGTATCTTGCCAACCCCTTCTAGTTGGCCTCAGGTCTCCTGTTGTCTTGCCCTAAATGTACCAGTCTCGGACAAAAACTAGCACATCCAGTAAGCCTGAAGAGGGGAACAAGGTGTGTGGATGGGCGATGGAGGGAATAGGGGGTATAACGGCATCCCACCCCGATGCATTGGCGTCTGTTTTGGGGATTGTCGGGGCTGCTTTTAAATCCGGGAGGATGAGCGTGGACGAGCCCAGACTCTAAAATGCTTCAGTGAGCTGGTACAGGAAGGGACGCTGCGTGTGCCTGGTGAGCGGTTGATCTCCTTTTGGATCAAGGAAGGGACCTCGGACGTCCCGGTTGGCACCTGGAGCGTGATCAGGCAGCGGAGTCAGGGAAATGGCCGCGTTGCTAGCTAGCCCTTCATGTTGGAGCACAACATCTCGGTCTGGCCGGGGCAAGCGCTCCCCCACGCTCGCCAGCCATCTGTCTTCCCATCGACAAGTCGGAAGAAAACTTTTTTCTTTCAAAAGCGAACGCGTGAGCCCCGGTTGTACTCCGCGCAGTAATTTTTCATTGTGAAGCTTGCTGCGGTGTTAATGGGGCTGCTTTGTTGGCAAACAATCCATTTATCAATATTGTTTAAAAAAAAAAAAAAAAGCCAAAAAAACAACCAACCAGTTTGTAAAGCTTAACTCTGAAAGATCTGATTTAATGACAGAGGTGATTAATTTCTACAGGAATCCAGCTGTTGAGCTGTGAAATAAATATTCAGGGGATAACCAATGTGTGTACATATCTATTTAAAGCCGCAGCGTCCTGTTTTGTGTTCACAAGCCCGCTCTTCCCCTACGCCCTCTTTAATCCAGTAATCAAGATTCATCCAAGCGTTTTTATGTTGCAGCTTTAAATTATGATAAATAGTAAACTATATGTACATATAAATCTAATCAGAAACAGAGGAACTTGCTGTGTCAGAAAAATAATTGTACACCGTATTAGTAATGGGGTTGGTTGGGTTTTTTTTTTTTTTAAAGGATGGAGATACAAGACTGCACAAGGAACCACCGAGCCGCTGAAGTGATGTCCTTAGGTCCCAATGCAATTGCCATTAAAGTCGGCAGCAAGATTTCTTTTGATTTCAAAGGGGGTTGGATCAAACCTTTAATGACCAGACTCTGGGCCTGGGGAGCCTCCTTTCATGGAGGAGCATAAAAGTTTCACCGTGCCCATTAATTCCAGGGGGGATAACGGAGAGCTCTCATTTTTTGATAACGTGAGGCAGGCGGCGTTTGAAGACGGCAAGCCATGGTGATAGATATATATATATATTTTTTTAATCCCACCTTTGTAAAGGAGAACATATGGTGCTTGCTGTCACAATTAGTCTTGGTAAATGCAGCCCTAATGGGGCTTGTGAAAAGGTAGTTAACTTATCGGCCTCCATGCCAACAAAATAAAGCATACTTAACCCTTGCACTGCTGCATGTGCTTTGGACCGCGCTACTCTTTGAACCCGGTAATGCCGCTATGGGTGAAAAGCCGAGGAGGGAGATACGAAATAGAGACCTCACAGTTTTAAATAAGAGGAGCAAGAAAGCAGTCTAGTGGGAGCTCAGTCTACCCCGTTGTCTTTGAAGAATCGAGCCCTGAAGTCTTTAAGTTGGGCCTTTGTGCAACAGATGCACGCAGGGAGTGTAAAACTTATGTAGGACCCCCCCAGTGAAGTTCCCTGCATGGGTTTAATGTAACGTTTTCCTGATCTAGTATTCGCTGCACCGCCAAACAGTCTCAGGGCTACAGGACACTGAATAGCGTCACTCCTCCTTGGCCAGTGGAAAGTTGTAGGATTCCCAGCTGCTCTTTCCAAGGCATAAAGAAGAGTGCAGGTACACATGTGAGAGCAAGGGGGGCTTCTGCACAGTACAACAGATGTCTTATAAATCAAGGCTCATGGAGAAAACAAGGCCAGCGGCCTGGTCTCTGTGCATGAAATCCCTGCCTCCCCTAGAAAGAGGACCGATTGCTATGGGCTCTGCTCACCCAGGGCGCACACGGGTTTACTAGTTTGCTCTCGTTAATGAAACCTCAAACAGGGTTGCTTGCAAAAAAACTGGAAGCGGTCTCGCCCTCCTTGCAGCACTGTTTCATCCTGCCACTTGCGACGTACCGCTCCATTCCCCCTACCGCCTGCCACGGCTACCGAAAGTTTAGGCTACCTCGGATGCGGCTTGCCATTCACTGTATTTACGTATCTGTTTATTTGTTGAACTACGTGCCCTTGACCAGGCCGAGATCGAGGTATCAAACTGCACGTTTTGTACGCAGTGCTCCAGGAAACAAAATCTCATGTCATTTAATTTTTACTTTTCCTGAAAAATTAAAACCTCTTTGACTCTGCAGTTCGATGATATTGCTGCCTCTAACTCTTTGATGTGTTAACTGTTGTCCTTCACACTCCTGGGATGAAGAATTACTAGTACCTTAATCTCCAACTGTCAATAGCTCTGCAGCAAAGTACATTCATTGTAAGCTCTCCAAATGTCAGAGCAAACCTGTGTTATGTGTTTAGCCTTAGCATTTGGCATTTACTCTTCTAGCTAAAACGTATGCACAATCCTTGGACTTCAGACACCAAAGTGCATGTTAATTATATGAGTGACAGGCTTCATGCAAATAGTGAAAGGAGAAAGTGATCAGAAAAGTAGCAGGTGCCTCTAGATGTTTCATTTCCCTTCAAAATGTTAATGAAACCTTTTGGCAGGTCTTCACGGGAAGAATAAATCTCGTTCTTGTAGTACCTTGTGTCAAAAAAAATAAAAAGTCACATTTTTCACCTGTCCTTTGTGTTGTGTTGGCTTTAAAAATAACGAGTAAAGCCTTATTAATCTCCCGTTTCCTTTTCTTTTCTTTTCTTTTGCATTTCTACATTCAAGGCTACCCAAATTTTGTTGCAACGTATGGCCGAGGATATCCTGGATTTGCTCCGAGTTACAGCTATCAATTCCCAGGTATGTACATTTCCATTTGCAGATTTAGGTCCCCCTCCCCATTCCCCTCCCCGCCCCTCAATCCGTAGCTGCAAGTTGAGACAGGAAAGATCTCATGCAATGAAAAATTCTGACAATTTTAAGGCTACATATATATAGTTTCCTTTTTTTTTAAAGAAAAAAAAAGAGATTGCCAAGACGATTTTATTAACAGACTGTATAAATTGGTACTGGTTATTTGAAAGCAGAATCCTTTAAATTAAAAATCTATACTAAACTGATAACTTAAGAACCATACTTCCCCCCCACTTGTGAGGTTACTTCCCCTCCCCCACCCCCCCACTATTTATAAACACATATTATATGGTGAGTTTACCGTTAGCAATGAAGTTCTGGAGGGAAGTCTAACATCCATCTATTTTTTTCTTTTCCTTTTTTTTTTTTTTATGTCGCTGTTTCTGGTGACCGTTGTAGAGACTAGGTTTTAATGGTGTGTTGCCCAGTTGCTTGTTCTCCCACTCCCTTTTGTGTGGCTGTTGAACTTTTGCTGCATTTAGCGACTTCCATTCACTGGAAGTGTTAATACTGCCACTCAGCATCCTATGACTCCCAAGGTTCGAAAGCGGTTGGCTGGCTTTTAGCATTACACAGTGTGGATCGCGAGAAGCCCCTTCTGCTTCCTCCCAGGCACTTTCGAGAGGCAGTCACCGAAACCGGCTCTACCTTTGCGTTGTTTTATGCTGGTGTCAGTGAGAACTTAAATTAGCAAGGAGAGAAGTTTTTTATTATTATTCTTACTATCATCACCAGCATCTCACCTTTAGGATTTCGAGGGGTGCTCTAACAAGCAGAGTTATGACTGCTGTGTTTACGGCTTACAATACCCCAGGCCCATCTGGACACCACAGCAAGGAAATCTCTGTTTATGCATTAAAGTCATTAGTGTGTGTATCACTTGGGTCACACACGAGCGGTTCAACTGCCTTGTGCTGCTTTCTTTAATTGCTTCGAAAGGGAGCGTTTGGAAGTGCAGCTTTGCTCAGGTTAATTAAGAAAGCAAGTTAAACTATCTCATTAATGAAAATGCTACAGGTACACAAGAGGGAAACCACTTCAAAGTGGAGAAGAAAACAAAAACCCTGATAGGGAATATCCTGTAGAATATAATAAGAGAGCGATAACCTTTCCATGCCATGTTTGTACACGCCGGTGGAGTACTGGAGTAGGGACACAGCACTGGGTAGGGTAAAAATACTTAGTTAAAACCAGCAGGACACAGTAATTGCCTTGGCAGCCTGGTTCCCACGGAAATAGCAGAGGTGGTGGTGGTTGAACAAGACCGTACTTTGCAAATGTTGAGGCTCTAGCTGCCCTCTCCCCGCTGCAAACGCAGCAAACTGGGAGTGCTCGTTTAAAAAAAAAATCCTCTCTTTTTCTCTGACATCCGGTCTGTAGAAACAGACCGTTCTGCGCATTTGCTCTCTCCCTAAGAAATGGGTTCTGGAGGTCTTGAATCGGAAGTACGCAGATTGCTTGCTTTCCTGGCCAGCCGAGGCCGAGCCAGCTTCAGACGTAGGGTGTTTTACACCTCTGATGCCATTCAGTTTTTGGCCTGGATGGTGAAAAAAGGGAGCTATGACTATTGTGCTCACTTTGGCTTGCCCTGAACAGAGCCGTGCACAGCACCCGTTGCCCAAAGCAGGAGACAGCGTCTCCCACGGGATGGCTTGGAGAATGCAGTCGCCATCTCAAAAGAGCACTGAAAGCCTTATCCCAACCTGTTTCCGAGATGCTCTTTACGTGCCGTACTCATGTTGTGCTCCTTATTGCTGAGACAGTGCACCGCACGGCCACAGTCCCCACTTAGTACTAACCCAGACTGACAAATGGGGTCTGTGAGATTTAAAAAAAACTCAAAACAGCTAGTTGAGTTTTCTTGTCTTAACTGTAAAGTGAACGTGACCCCGTGCCGCGCTGTATTAGCTTGGGGTGATGGCCACCGGCCCCAACTCCCATGAGTGCAAGATCCAAATTACAGCACGCTGAGATCCACATTTGCAGACCATGCTGCCGACAGGACATCAACATAGGCAACGAGCGGCAAGGACCTTTTCCCTAACGGTGTCCCGCAGTGATGGTTTTCCAGGCCTCTTACTACACCAGAGTCCACTTTCGGTGTAGTAGGGCCCCGGTCTCCTCCTGATCTCGGCTCAGATCTCTCCCTGACATCGAGAGGATCCGCAGCATCAAGGGAAATAATGCTGGCTCTCAGACAGTAATTAAAAAAGCTTGTCAGGCCCCTTCACAAAAGGAGTTTGACACCTCAGCTGTATGGCGTGCATGCCGTTTTCACAAGTGCCCTTCCTAATAAGAGAGCCAGCCAAATCTGGCACGCAAGTGCATGCCAGCCCGCGTCAACACCTGATTAGACCTCCACACACATGAATAGAAAGTGCCAGAGAGCTTCTTAAAAGTTCATTTGCACTTTGTCTCAGGTCCTGGTTTCCAGGTTCGTGCCGCTCCCCGACTCCGACGGAGCAGCACGAAGAGAAGGCAGACAAGGAGAGGCAAATTTAATAAATTAAATGATCAAGACTTGACGGGAGCTGTATCGCTGCCGTTATGAACGTGCCCAAAAAAAGAAAATGCCTGGCAACGGGAGGTACTGTTTAGCTCCAGCCTTTAGTACGTCATTTGTATTAAGGGCCTGGGGTGGGCCTGTGTTCAGAACAGGCCTCCCAGGGTTTTTTGGCAGGCACAGTGCAGCGATGCAGGGAGGGGAGCAATAAAGCCTGATCTGGTTGGCTTCAAAAAAAAAAAAAAGGTGAGTGCAGGGAATTGCAGAAGCAACTGGTGTCCACCCCAGCCGAGGCCCTCTGTCGTGTCTGAAATGTTTAAAAGTCCTCTCGTGTTGCTTCAACTTGCGGCTAAACTAAGACCCAGAGGCTCAGGGCTCAATTGTGGCCATGGTGCTAGGAAGTGGTGTCAACGTGGCAGCGCAATATCTTCAGGGCCATGTCGGGCGTTCCTCCCATTGGGACCTGGCTTTTCCTCCGATCCCTTGGAAAAACTGGCGTCCCTGAAAGGCAGGGCAAGGCCTGAGGCTGTGACCCGGCTCTCGCACAAGGATGCAGTGAAGTTTTTGCATACGTGGGCTTGAGAGTGCATCCCATTTCCCGCCCCCATCTTAACTCCTGGATGGAGCCAGGCCCAAAAGGGTGGCGGAGCTGCAAGCAGGAGAGCAAAGCTCAACTTGCTGATCACTTGTTCCCTGTGCAAAGTTTCAAGAATCCTGCACTAAATGCCACCTTGATTGGTCGCATCTTCCATGTAAACATCAATAAAATAAATGCCCCGGTGCAGCTATGTCTCAGTGTACCTAAGCTGCTCGTGCTGGTCTTTGCATTTTCGTTCTGCATCCTTTCCACTTATGTGAGATCTAGAAGCCATTTTATTCAGGGTGGTTTAGGGGTTGTTCCTCCTCCCTGCTTGGGAAGTAATCAAGGTTTTGGCCAAGGCAAGCTCTTACAAACCAGCAGAGGAAAGGGGTAGGGGAAGGACCACTTTTAGTGACCGCACAATAAATGCGCACAGTGATGCAAGTATACGCACCAGAGCTTCACTTAGGCCAAGTGTTTGGAGGAGCCTGAACTGCATCCAGGACGCTTCCTAATGCAAGATTTTGCGCGTGCCATTATGCCCCATTGGCATGCATGAAGTCGGGGCGCTGAGCAAGGGAAGCAGGTGAGAGGGCAGAGCAAAGTCATGCAGAGCGTGGAGCCTCCATCCGTGCTCACCCCCGCCACGGCAGCTTTACAAGAATACAGGATTTCCCCAGGCTTGCCCTAGGACACCACAGTTTGCAGTATCTTTGGGTTGCAGGCTGCCACCCATCACCGTGGTTGCTGAATAGCAGCAGTGTTTCGGATAATTTCGCAGCCACGTCAGGATTTTGCCAGCACAGGTTCCCTGCATTTTAATGAACGGTCTCGTGGCAGGGCTGAATGAAAGAACAAGTCCTACCTTCATGCGAGTCCGTGCTCTTACCAATTGTTATTCCTTATGTAAGAACTGTGCTTAAAGGGTTCATTACAGAGCAGCCCTGATGTAGCTTCTTACTACAGTACAAATGTGTCACCAAGCCTTAATATAGCACGCTGCTGATGGCTGGGCTATAAAAAGTCAGCTAATTATAAGGAAATTATAGTCTTCCTTGTATTATAATACAGTATTGCAAAACTGTGCTATTACCAGTTGCTGTTTCCCAGAACTCTAGTGCCACTGCATCTATTTTAATACCAGGAAGCATTATTCCAGTGCCTTTTCGGCTTATGACACTCCTCTTAAACGTTTTTGGGGGGTTTTTTTTGCTTTAAATGCCAGTCTAAGCTGCGCCGTAATGCAATGTGTGCTGTTGTCACCATGAAACAATGCTACAAATGTCACGATCCACCTGTTGCCTTTGCATTTTGATAACCTGCAAAGAAGGCTCTCTGTGCTGTGTCTGTTTGCCTGCTTGAATGATGCTCCTTTCGTACGTCCCTCGTATTATAATTCTGTCAAACTGGGTGACAACCCCTAGTTCAAAAGGCAGAAGAATTGTTAATCACTTTGGCAACTGTTCTATCTTCTCTCATCAAGTTATATATATTTTTCCTTTAGGCTTTTATAACTCAATGTGTAGTCCTTCCCTCCCCCCCCTCCTTTTTTTTTATTATTATTATTATTATTATTATTATTATTATTATTACAATCATTCCCTATCCTGTTTCATTTTTTTTTTAATTTCTGGAACTTATCTTTTCAGTTTAATCTATTAATTTCTGTTCTTATTTCACTTTGCAGACTATTTGCCGATTTCACAAGACATAATTTTTATCAACTAGTTCTTAAAGATGCATAACAAATTAATCGGGGTTTGCTACAGTGCTAATGAGAGACAGAGAGAGAGAGAGAGACAGAAAGCCTGGGTGGTCCATGTTTAATATCAATGTCCACTGAAAAAATGCTGCTCTTGCTGG